GGGTATCTCACCATCTTTCTTATATGGTAGCTGCTGCTAACCTCTGTAATTCTATGGGCAGTGGATCTGTCTTCTTTTCCTTTCCATCCCCCATACCACCATGGACCTTCCAAAGAACAGATGTTCAATGTTGGAGGAATAAAAAAAAAAGCCAGTTGGCAATTTATTATGATTTAATTTCTCCTATATTCTTGAATAAATGAAGCAAGTGCAGGTATATAACTTTTATTTTACAGAACAGCAAAATACAAGGAATAAGGGAAACTAAGAATTGACCATCTTTTACTTCTTTCTCCATTTTTCAATCTCAACTATTTTACTGCTAATTTCTTTCACATTTCTAAGTAAATGCCTTTTCCTTACAGTGCCATGTTTTCTTGTTCCAGATCACTAAATAAGATGGAAGGTTACTCAATTTGTTTTATTAAACAGCAAAACTCTTACTCTTAAACCTCATAAGCAACATTAAATATGTAACCAATATCATTCATACACTTAGATTCTGAAGCTAATTAAACTTTTTTAAAATAACATTTGAAAACTTTCAATAAGATAAACCTATGTTATTCATGTAGAACAGGAACACAAATATAATATGCGCTGTAATCTCTCTAGCACCACCTAAGCCCCTACTTTAAGCACAAAGTGAGGAAAGTGCTTCAGATTTCATTACTGGTGGGAGAAGCTGCCAAGATTGATCCTGGAAAACATATTGGCCATGGCCCCAGGATGAGTCATAGCTGCAAATCTGGCCCGTGCTCTGTCTTCCTCATCTTGCAGAGCTTCTTCGTACCAGGATGAGAAGGCACTGGGGACCGTATTATGGATCTTGGCCAAGAACTTCAGGACTTTCATCTTGCTGGTCTCAGCATGGGCTCTTGGGCCCCATAGGAACTCGAAGTGAGGAGGATCACTGCCCGGCACCTGGCGGTATTCCAGGTATCTTTCCTGCACAAAATCTTGAGTGATGAGCTTCTTGGGCTCCCCATGGATGAAATGCTCCTTTCCAGCATATATACCCATCACATTAAGCACTTCCCAGATCTCCTCCTCAGTGGCGCAATTGCCCTTCATGAAGATCACACAGAGGATGGTCATCAGGAGACCCATCCTGGGCATGATCTCCTCACCTCTCAGCATCCCATCATAGGTGTGCTGCAATTTGCTAACAAGGGCATAGCAGTGCCCCATAGGGTCAGCTTCCTTTACATCTATGCCAAAGGCCAGCACCATTAACTCAGAGGCTTTCTTGAGGATCTCATGGAAGTGCTTCTTGTACTTTTTGATGACATGCTTTATCATGTCTTCCTTCATTATGGGCTCCCTCTTGTTATACTTGCCCAGCATGAATTGCACCAACTGAATTGCCTTCTGGTCTAGAGGGTTTCTGCAGGAACGATCCATGCTGGGTGGTGCCTGGGAGGTACTTGGTCTTTCCTCATCTTGGCTCTTGGCACCTGCATCAGACTTTGTGTATGAAGTATCTGCAAAAGCAGTTGAAACACATGGGGCTCTCCGAGACCCCTGGGATTTGCTAAGTGACCCAGCGGCAGAGGAGCTCTGGGGATTACCACCAAAAGGAGGAGAGGGGGAAGAGGGGGACTCTTCTTCCTCTGAGACAGTGGCCTGAGCACCCACTGGATCCTTGGACCCTTCTCGGGCGTGGCGGCGTTTCTCCCGGGCACGGAGCTTACTCTTTTGACCCCGAGGCATGATGACACTGGTCAAGGACAGCAGGCAGGAGTTGGGCAAGAGGGCAGGCAATGAGGGCACCTGGAGGAGGGAGATTGAAATGGTGTGTGTCCCCTCAGCAGGGAAGTTCCGCCTCGGCTTTGCCCAAAGCCGCCTCCGCAGAGTCTGAGGGTATTGCTCCAGGAACCCCCAGGGTAGTCAGCCTGTTCCCTGAGAGCCCTGCAGAGCATGTCAGAGTATGCCTTATGCTACAGCCCGCCAGACCTCCCTGGGGCAAATTGGGGCTGGCATTTAGGACCATTCACACTTAGAGCCATCAAGTCACCTCTCGGCAGGGCCCGGCCTCCTCCCCACTGCAGCTCCGAAGCTAAACTCCTTACGCCAATGTCCTTACCCCACTGAGACCTTTGAGGAGGAAGTGAGGGAGAGCCTTAGCTGGTCACCCCTACCGGGGCTTCCCAGAACTGACAACAAGAGCAGGGTTTTGTGGGATCCCCTTTGTCTTGGATAATTAAGGTTTCCAGTCCTCACTCATGTGACCACCCCCATTAGACCCCGACCCCCACCTCCCGGAGTTTGGCAGCCCTGCCGGGGGTCTCCCAAAGTAGACCACAGGGATAGAGATTTGTGTGGGGTTGAGAGTACTCTCAGTCCTTACTCAGGGTCGTCTCCTTGACTCCGAATAAAGTCTGGGATTTTTCTCTCTTATTCGAGTCCACCGGTCTCAGATCAAAGTCTTCATTCCCGAACACCTCAAGACAGATCTGAGGGGGCGTTGGTCTTAACAGCCATGCCTCGGGACTCAGCGCGGGGTGGATCGGGACTCAGCGCGGGGTGGATCGGGACTCAGCGCGGTGGATCGGGGCCATGCCTCGGGACTCAGCGCGGGGTGGATCGGGACTCAGCGCGGGGTGGATCGGGACTCAGCGCGGGATGGATCGGGGTGGCATTCTGTGAGGTCTCCTCTTTGTTCTGGGGTGGGCGGAGTCACGTCTCCGCAGTTCTAAGCGTCCACACCTTGACTTTCAGCATCTCCTCTCCTCAGACCTGAGACCCTGGAGGTGGAAGTCAGTCAATCGGAACCTCATGCTGACAGTTCTGCCCTGGGCTTCCAGGAGTTAGAGCAGGGGTGGGGCTTTGTGAGAGCCCTTCTGTTCTGGAGGGTATTGTCCGGTTAGTCCTCAGATGGCTGCAGGGAGTAGGGTGTCCTGCTGTTGCCTGCTTTTTTAAAGGCTCCTTGTTAACTACCAACTCTCTGAAAGCTCTGAGCTGTTTCCATCTTGCAAAACTTGCAGAAAACGAGTAAGAGTCCCAGGCTAGATACAAGATGGGGAAGTCGCAGCGAAAGGCAGGGTCCCAGGACAGGTGGTGGCTGTAAGGAAAAATACTGGTCCGTAGCATTTGTTTTTCAGCTGAACTTAGACTTTTGGAAACTTTCTACTCTAAAAGATCTCTTTTCTAAGGGGAAGAGGCTGAGATGCTTAGTCGGTGCAGTGACTTTAATTTTGGCCCTCATTCACAGTAAGAAATATAATTACATCTTTAACAAATGTGTGTGTATTTTTTTTTATGAAAGAATACCTACCCTTGTTAAGTGTGATTCATTCTTTCCATTCCTTTTATTTAATAATAGTATTGATTTTTTTTAAAAGGTCACAGTACTAACCCTCTAAAGAGGTTTCAGGTAGTTATTGCACAGCCTCTGGACTCATAGAGTTTCAAACAACCCCAAACTTTGGTGCTGGTCTGGCATTATCCCATGGTCCTGGCTCACGAGCTCTGAGGAGGTGCCTTGGGTTTCTTCAGTGAAACAATAGAACTTCATTGTCCCAGGGCACATTGAAAAAAACAAGGGCTGAACTTTAAAATCTTTCCTCCAACTGATCCTATCATTTGCCCTTCTTGCAGGCTACAGACCAGTCTCAGCTTCAGGGCATGCCCACACACAGGTTTTAGTTCAATACAGACTTAGTTTCTCCCAGGGTTTTCTCATTTTTGTTGTTTTGCTGTTGCTGATATTGTTCTTCCTTTTTTTAAATCAATTTTCATTTTATGTTAGTTTCAGGTATACAGTACATTGGCTAGACATTTATATAGTTTATGAAGTGATCCCCCTGATTACTCTGCTGATATTGTTCTTTCATTCTCCCTTTTATAGTTTCTCAGGGTTGATTTTAGGCACCAGCAGTCCAAGTCTGGTAGCCATCTTGGAAGCTACAGGTGAGGCAGTATATTCATCAGCTAAGGCTGCCATAACAAAATACCACAGATTGGGTGTCCTAACAACAGAATTTTTATTTATCATAGTTCTAAAGGTTAGTAGTTCCAGATGGAGATGCTAGTCAATCCACTTTCTATTAAGAGCTCTCTTCCTGGCTTTGCATATAGGCACATTCTTGCTGTCTTCACATGGACTCTTCTCTGTAAATGCCAGAGAGAAAGAAAGTGATCTCTAGTGCCTCTTCCTTTCCTTATAAAGATGTCAGCTATATTGGATTAGGGGCCCACTCTTATGACTTCATTTAACCTTAATTACCTTTCTAAAGACCCTATCTCCAAATATAGTCGCATTGGTTATTAGGGCTTCAACATATGAATTTTTTTTTTTGCACGGGGGGTGGACACAGTTGAGTCCAGAGCAGGTAGTAAATCTGTAAAAATCTAAGGAGAATCGACATCTTTAAAATATTATTTTCCTCATAAATAAACACAGTGTATTCCTGTATTTATTTGGGACTTCATTCCCTGAGTCTACCTGTATATTTTTATAGTTCCAAAAAGATTGTGTACATTTTTGTTAGGTTTCTTCTTAGGTAAATTTTGGATATTGCTGCTGTTGTTATTGGGATATTTTTATTAATTATCTTAAGTAGATACTGCTTTTGTGTGGCTAGGCTTCTGATTTTGGTATAGTATTTGGAGTCTCATTCATTTGAATATTTTGAGCACTGGTTCTTTTGAATTTTCTAATTATCTCCGTCTTTTCAATATTCTTCCTCTTATTTATTTTGATACTCTTATTCCTCTAGTTATGTATTCCAGTCCACTTTAAACAGTAGATACAGTACCATAACATGTGTCTTTGTCCTGACTTTGATGGGAATGTTTGTAACATTTCACATTTATGTAAGTTTTCTGTAGATTTTAGGAAGTAGACATTCTCTTCAAATGTTATTTTGTTAAAAGTTGTTTTTTTTTTTTATTTTTTACCATGGATTGGTGTTAAATATTTTTTCAAAGTATTTTCTGCACCCTTGTACATGATCAAATGCATTTTTATCCTCTATTAATGTAGAGAAATTCCAATTGACAGCTTTTTCTAATGTAATATCTTTGCATTTCTTGAGCTCAATCTATTTGTTCACCACTATATTGGACATGCTATGAAATTATTTAGGATAGATGCTTCTATGTGAGTGTGCGTGGCTCAAATGATTTTTTTTCTTGGGGTATCCTTATCTAGTCTTTGTAAAATTCGGCATACCTGTTAAAATGAGTTAGTAATTTCTCATCTTTTAGTATGGCTTGGCAGAGTTTGTATAAGATGGCGATTAGTTTTTCCCTATTTGGTGAAACTGGATTCCAAATCAGGTTGGTCCTGTGATATTTTGAGGGGGGATGGAAAGCTAGAGTTTTAGTTTGTATTGTTTGGTTAAAGTTTTCTATTTCTGCCTGGAACAATTTGGTCAACTACATTTCTTCTGAAACTGGTCCATTTAACTTAGAATTTAAAATTTAAAAACATGTTGTGTTTATTTTGGTTTAGAAAAATGCATAACATTTGACATATTCTCTTAACAAAATTTTAACTGTGTGTTATCTTCCTCCTGGATATTTATCCAAAATAATTGAAGTCAGGATTTTGTAGAGATATGTGAACCTCTGTGTTCATTGCAGCATTATCCACAGTAGCCAAGATGTAGAAGCAACCTAAATCCTTGTTAGTGGGTGAATGGATAAAGAAAATGTAGTATAAAGACATGATATTTATAATAAACGTTTTCACTATAGAAATCATCAAGGTATACAACAGTATAGAGGGAAGTATAGTAAATCCAATATACCTGGCACTCAGCATCAACAATCATCAATAGTTAGAGGTAAACGTTTGGTAGGTTTTTGCTTCTTTATTGCAAGGCCACTTCAGAGGTGACACTGTGTACTTCCATTAGGAAGAACATAATGTGTGCGTGTCTCCCTTTGTGGTAAGGTTGGAAGTTATTGATGATTATTACCATTATCCATTAATCTGTTAGAGGCTGCAGGATGGTAATTCTCTAATTCTATCATTCCTTGTGAGTTCATCACCTGAAATACTTCTGCAGGAAGAACCTTTCCTTCCTGGTTTATCATATGGCTACCTTGAGGTAATGGTAAAACCTATTTATGGTGTTCTCATATCAGATATTTTCTGCACCTATATTTTGGACAGTTTTATTTAACATCACTTATTTCTAGTTCCTTTTTGTAAATGATAATACTTATAAAATTGCATATTCTATAATTTTTGAACTGGCTTTGCTTAGTTGGCTTTAATGTTTTATACTTCCTTATTTCTGCATTTAACCACATTATTTCTTACCTTCTACTTAAACTTTAGGTTTACTATGCTATTCATTCTCTATTTTCTTGGATGTTATAAATATTTCTTGTTTCCTAATAGATCTATTCAAGCCTATAATCATCCCTCTTAATACCATGTGGGCTTTATCTCACAGGTAGTATTACAGAGCTTTATGTGTATGTTTAAATATATTACAACTCGAATCTATTTTTCTATGCCATGTGGTAGAAAAATAAATATAATTGGCCATATATAACAGTCAAGGATTGCATAGAAACACATAAAATTCTCTCTGTATTTAACCCAGAAGAAATTTAATGCAATGTATTGGTTATTCAACTGATGAAAAGTTACACAGGAAAGGAACAATAAACCTAATACTTAGCAACGTGAGAATGTCACTCCCACCTTTGGGCTTCTGGAGCCTAAAAGTTAGTGTTGACAGGATCTAGAACCA